TATCTTACAGGAGCAAATATCCTAGTATACATCTAGGTAACCGTAGGAGCTGCTTTCTGACAGTGTTCTTGAAGCAGAGAAGATGGGGATGGGGAGGTCATATCTTTCTGGGATAAAAAGGAACCCATGCAACAACACATGTGGCTTCAAAGAAATAGGAACTGTAATGAGAAAGGTGACACTAAAACCTGCTCTACACCCCTACTCTGTATGTAATCCATGATAAACCCCATATCTCAAATAGGACAGCTTCCTAGAGATCTCTATTTTGTGAAAACAATTCTCTAACAGCATCAAACCTTGCCTATGCCTCTCAAAAAAAAACACTGTGAAATGATATTGATAAATATATATATAAATATGAGAATAGCATGGTTTCATGTACCTCATGCTTGTATAAAAAAATATAAGAACTATTATTGTAACCCCTCAGTACAGTATTTTCACAATAAAAAAGAACTATTAATATTTAAAATTTAATAAGTGGTATTTATTTACCAATGTGGAAAGCATAATATACACAAGGAAAGGATAACCATATTCACAATATATCCACAAGTAACAATATCCCACATTAGAAGGACATTGTTTCTGTAGGACATAGATTTGTATATCATACCCTGCCTGACCTGGGAAAGAAAGCTCAAAGTCCCTGAGTATATGGGTACCAACCATATGGAGCCAACTTTAACTTCTGGAGACTCCTTAAGTTACAGGAGTAAACAGCCCAGGGAAAATACTCGACCCTCTTACAGAAAAATCAATTATTTTATTTCATGTACATAAGAAAAAAAGGGGAATGAAGTAGGGAGATTAGGTCTGGCCAGTGCCATATTGGCCATGTGGTGGATGGTAGGGTCTGGCATCTTGTCTTCATGCTAGGGAAGGAGATGTCCCTGCCTCCCAGGTGATGGCGTGCCCGGATCCCTGGAGACAGTCAGGCACTTAGCTGATAGGTTATTAAACCTGCCAGACCAGTGCCTGGGACTAGGAATTTTCTGTGGACTTGCCCCCGCCCTGACACTATTTAGGCCCGGACCAGCCCAGGTGGCATTGCACCATGTTATGTGTGTCTCCGTGATCCCATCCTGTGTCCTGTCTACTGGCTAGCCTCCAGTCATCATGGCATCCAAGTTCAGCTCTCCATTGAAGCTAAATTGGTTTGTTGGTATTGTTGGTTTGTTGGCCTGTTTCCCAGCTGTGTTATGTGTATTTAGAGGCTGCAGGCTTTTGTAACAACTTGCTGCAGGCAGCCTGATAACTGAGTAATAAAGACTTCAAAATTCCATCTTAAAAAAGAAAATCCCACATCAGAATTGCCCTGAATTTCCACTGGTTTTAATATGTGCTTGACATTTACATGCATATGAAAAGTCTATACAACCTCATCCCAGATCCCCACAGGACTCCACCCATGCTTGAGCAGTCAAAACTGGTCTGAAATTGTATACTGTCCTCTACTGGAGGTCACAATCTATTAGGTGCCCACCAGGCTGCCAAGATGAGGCTAATGGCTACTCTGCCTGCATGAAAGGGAGCCTGGGCCTGTCTCATTCTTTTCCAAGGTGGCCTGAGAGAAAGTGGTCAGGACCACCCTACATTGTCTGCCACACACATTATAAGGGATGAACTTCCTGACCTTACATTCTGTCAATTCCCCTGCACACTCACATTGTTCTTTCTCTTTTTCAAAACCGTGGATATTCCTAGTTCTCTTTATGGACTTCAAAAAAAAAGGATTCCTTGACCTGTGAATAAAAGAGATTAAATGGTACTGGAGAACATTATGTGAGGTGCTCAGAGCAGAACCTAGTGTCCCCTGCAGCAAGCCAGACCCAGGTATGGTGACTCACAGCCCAGTGCTCCAGTTAACCATTAGGGGTTGCTCAGAATAATTCAGAGGTACAACCTGATGTCAGAAACTGAGGCATGGATAAAAAGGAAGAGGGTTGGACATGGGTTCAAAGTATTTGCATTGTCCAGACAAGAACAGAACCTTCAGGGTGAGACTCATAAGATGGAAAGAAGCAATGTCAAGAGCTCAATGTAGATGCTCAGAACTAACAATGAGAAAAGATTTTTTGAAATGGCATGAAAGGGAAATCAGTGGCTTGCAGGTAGGAGCTGCTTTGTTTTGCTACTGGAGAGGACATCTTCTCAGTGGCCATAAGTGGTGGTTATGATGATGCTGACAGGACAGGAAAGAGTTGAGGTGACCCATGATGCTCCCCCTTTATGGAATGTATCACCGTATTCATTTACACTCCCTTCTCAAGGCCTAGAATACTTCTCTGCTATAATGAGGAAAGTAGACTCTAATCTCCAACAGACTTTTCTGGCCATCCAATCCCACCAATATGACCAGAAGAAAATATATATGACATTCTCTTCCTCTAAGGGAAAGTCACTGTGTCCAGAACTTTTTCACATCCAACTCCCTCTATTGCTTGCTTCCTTTCTCCTGAATAGTGCCTGTTTTGTTTCTCCTAGTCAAACTCCTCCTGTAATCTTAGTCTGCAATATAATTGGAGGACAGATTAAGGATACTCTCTCCACAACAGTGAGGTCTTTCCTAAATCAGGAATCTTTTCCATTGTTCTGGGGTTGTGTGGATCCCCCAGATATAACCACAGTCAATTCTAATTTTTTACTGGAAGAACAGAATTTTAATATCAATATTCATGTCTAACATTTCCTATATAAAACAACAAAACTTGCTTTAATCTATAAACAGACCCAGGAGCCTGGCTTCCACAAATGCAAATCTCCATGGTCTCCTGCATCCCAGGATGGTGTTTCCATTTTGAATGGCATTGCAACTAGCATGATATTGACCCAATCTGACTGTCTGCCCTTGTAGGGTGAAGAGTGGGGCTTAGGAAAAGCATTTCTGCATGGTCTCTGAACCCCTGGTTGGTTGTGATGGGCAATACCCTCTCTGGATCAACCCTGAGTAGAGGGACCTATAACACCGAGGGAGGTCAGGTCAGGATATCCAATGCCAGTATCATTTTGGCATCAGGATAGGTGTGTGCATCAATGATTCTCAGTGCACTAGACTAGAGGTAAATGGAAGGTATTCTCTGGCCTAGGCCTCTCCAGTATGTAACTGCTTATCCCCTGGCCAGCCAGACCAAGGGAAAACATCCCTACATGGAATGCTTAAGTGAAAAATGGTGGACCTGGCTCCATGATTCATCTTTGTCTGCTGGAGGAAGTTCTACTTCTGGCACAAAATTGTAATTGGCCATATTGTTCATGGCATAATAACAGTATTGTCAGGGAAGTTCAGATCAGAGCCAGACACAGTGGAATACAGTGTAGAGTCTCTCAACATGGGATCTTGTGGCCCCTCTAGCAGTGACAGACATGGAAGACCTGCAGCTCCAGTTTCTTGCTCTACAGAGAGACCCTTTTGATCCATGTGGGAAATCCCGGAATGGATTTGGAATGCACAGGGCAATGATTCAGAGAAATTCTGGGCCCAAAGCAGACCTGGAGTGAAGACACTTTGATTTCCCCATCAGATTGTTTGCAGATAATCCATCCCAGAGGGGGTACCAAAGGCTTCTTTGGTTGCCTGAGTTGAAGTCTGTGGAGATCATACACAAGACAGAGAAGACAGAAACTTCCAGATTCTCATCACAATGAGTGAAATAAAAATACTGGATTTAACTGGAGCCATCTTGGCAATGTGGTTACCACAACCTGCTCTAACTGTGAATGGTTTATGCCTTGGATTACTTTAAGTGATTATGGAAAATACTGAATGGAATCCTCACACCAATGCCATCATTAGAGATGACAAACACAAGTTTAAAGCTAATATGACTTGTCAAAATCTCCTTCATCAGTGAGACAAAGAGCTGGAACCATGTCAATAAGAGGGATTTCCAATGTTCCCATAGACCCATTGATAGACTGAGACATGAGGCCATTGGGCTGATGTAAAGACAGGGAACAGAACTGGTAGGGGCCCGGCTGGAGTAGGAATACACATTGGTGCTTACTTAATGCATGGATATGAGAGTAGCAGTGGCCTGGGCCTGCTGCCCAGAAGACCCCTCTTCCTGAATCTGGTCAGTTCTTCAAGGTGTAATCAGTGGAATATGGTGGGCAGTTGTACAACAGCACCTTCCTACAATCCTCTAGTGTTGTGTGTGGTCACAGAAAGGCACCTGGGATAGCCTGACACAGGCCACACAAATGTAAGGAAATTTGAGTCCTCAGCCTTCGGTAAGGTGTGAAGGGTTATAAAAGCCAAGGTTACATTATCCCCTCACTTCTTCAGGGCACGGAGTACACATGATAATCCCAGAGAAAACAGCTTCAATCCACCAGCTCTGGTAGTGCCTTGTAAACCAGGGAGGATAGAAAAGGCAGAGCTATTACAAGTGCAAAGTTGTTATAAGTTACAGAGGGTGAGGGACAACTTTACACTATCCTCTGGCCCATCCAGAGCAGTTTTGCCTTGAGGGTTGAGCTTGTGAGTAAGCGAATCCTGTCCCACTTGGTCTGCTAATACCCAACCCAGAATCTCTTGTGCATCATTTCCAGTGACTGCCGCCAAGCAAAACTCATGGCTTTGGTGTTTGCCATGGTAAACCAAATACTTAGTTTCCTAGAAAAAAGTCTTCCACTACCACAGAAAGAAAAGACATCTACAAAGCCAGAACACTCAGAACCTCTTATTACTTGCTCATCAAAATAGGGAAAAAGGAGTGATTCAGGCCCCCAGGGCCTTTGCCACGACAGGAAGGTGGGCTTGTGGGGTAACAGGAAACCCCAAATCTTGACATTTGCCAGTCCTTCCTGCTGTCCCACGCCTGGTCTCTCATCTTTCATGGCAAGTTTGTCCAAAATCCCAGTCCTATCCCACAGGGCACTCATGACCAGTAACTTTGTGCAGTCCACATGACGCCAGTGCAAGGCGTGGGATTCTGTAACTGGACACTCTCACGTTGTTTTCCTCATCTGTGCAGTGGGTTTTGATTCCTCCCATGCCCATCACTCAGTTTCAGCTACTTAAAGTTTGTACCTGCTTGGCAACGGTATTGTCATTCCTAAAGAGATTAAAGTGTAGGTCTGGCAGAGGAAAAATTTTAAGTGGAGACCAAATAATTTTGCCAACTACAGTTGATTATTCTTCAGCTCCAAAGCATATAGATATGGAGGAGTGGACGTCCTGGGATGAAGATGCACCCACAAGTGTAAAGACTGAAGGAGGGAATGGCAATGTGGCATCACAACAAAACACTTTGGAACAACTGGAACCTTACTCGTTTAAGGACATGACACCAACTATAAGGAAAAATCAGAAAATTGTCATTAAGAAGAGAGAACCTTTAAATTTTGGCATCGCCAATGGTAGCACATGTTTCTTCAGTAGACTAACAGCTCTTCATCAGTCATCTGAATTAGGTGACTTACACACTTGGCAAGAAACTACTAATGCATGAGAAGAGGAAGAAGGTACAGCCTGAGAAGCAGAAGTTGTTCTGAGGCTTGATTTTAATGCATTCATCAGCCCATTCAGGAGACCAAGATTATCCCAAAGTATGTGGAATTCTTAGTGATTGAGACTCAAAAGAACAGAAAAGATGTATGCAACTATTTTCTTCAACTATTTTCTCCAGACATACGATTGTTTTCTGGAGAAAAATTATTACAAATGGAATATATCACTACCTCTCAAGCTAGTGTTTCTAGATAAATAAATGGGTGTAAATAATTTTATGGTGGAAAAGAACTCTATTATCTATTTCCTTCACTGTGTATGATTAGAAAATAAATAATTCTACATTTTTTGTTTCCATGATTACCTGACCTAAATTAGACAGACTAGAGGTAGGGCTTTCACTTATTTTTGTTATAAGAAGCTGATGTTAACATACCTTTTCTCTAGTGAGAACAGGTATTGTTTTATATATCATTAAGGGATTTGATTATTTGGGTTTTTAAGATGACATTAAATGCAATAATTTTATTTATCAAATGTTTTACATCATTTTCCTTTCATTGATGTGATGTTATACATATTTGCAATTTATATTGTATGTATAAACATTGAAAATAAAAAATATGGAAAGAGTAAATCAGACTTCTGCACAGCTTGTCTTTTTCTTTCTGATTTTATACTACAATTGTTCAGTCTCCAAAGAGGCAGCTGTGACTTGACAGCTCTTGTTGAATTCTTCCTGGATTTTGGAAATATTTCTGACCATCCTCTTCGATATTGTTGGAATCATATTCTCTACAAAATCCTCCTTAGAAAGATAAACAGAAAGTTACTTGAAAGTTATGATCCATTAGTTTCAGTGACAGTTGATATCATGGTCATGCTCATGTTGTCTTGTTTATGTCTCTGAGTTCTCACACCCATACTAGGTCTGTGGAGCCAAAGCCTTCAACAGAACATTGCAAATGGTTTCATACAATCATGGGATGGGAAGCCCTTGAACTTACCCATATCTACTGGATCATTTCAGCCTTTATCCCCAATTTCATCCCATTTTAATCAAAATTCCAAATACAATGATGCACTTCACCCCTGATGAATTCAATAAACAGATCTTGGGTCAGATTCAGGTTGGAGGCATATGAAGGTGTTCTCTGGGGATGAGAATGCTCACTCTACCTTGCTGAATATCTTCTGCTAACCAAACCCTGTGTTTGGGGACCACTGGGCCCGACTCAAGCAACATCCCTCTGTGAGTTATCACAGTGATAAACATGGGTTTATTAGCAAGAATCGCTGATATAACGGCTAGGAAACTAATGGCGGAATGATGAATGTAAACCTAAAGCTAGAGCATCAACAATGGGCCTGTGCTTAACTTCAAATTTTCCTTATCCAGGATCAAACACCTGGAGCATTTTCTCTGCATCATAACCACTTAAGGAACATGGAAATTAATTGCTCTCATACATGTATATTAAATACTCTTAGATCCATTTAGATTTAGCTCCAGTAAGAACTCTATGAAATGATTATGTACAGAATACATTGGTAATGGATTGTTTTGTAAAATGTCACACTAGTATTGCACATGGATATAGATTTTATAGTGGAATGGACTCTCACAAATATATTGACAAACATTCCGCATACACTCACTGACAGGCACCTCCCAGGCCTCATATTCAAAAGCACACATCACCATAGCTGTTTTGAGGGAAAAATTGAAATGATCAGAGTTTTTCCTTTATCATCAGTCCTGCTTGGCAGAAGCTCATATCTCTTTTCCATCAGGAAACTTGAATCAAGATGGATTCCTGAACAGAATCTGACAAGACAGTCCAACCTTTCTCAGCGCTACAGTGTTTCTTAGTGAGTGAGTTGGGAATATGTACAGTTTCCATGTGCTGTGGATTCCACCTTTAGTCAGAGAAGAAAAGACCCAGTGAGAAACAGGTCATATCCAGTCCTGTTTACACAGGGCTATCATTCACTAATGTGACATTAGAAAACTAAATGGGGGGACTTTTATGCCTGTAATAAAGGTTTACAAAAGAATCCTAGATGGGAACACAAGAGACTGAGACCAAACCAGGCAAAAGCCCAAGAGAGTTTGAAAACATTTTGGTAAACCCTAATCCTCTTAAAATCAATTTTATATCACAAAGGGATAGTAACTATTGATATAATTTTCATACAAAGATATATAATGGAAAAATGTGAATCAGCAGAGATAAATGGCACTAAAAACATGAAAGTTCTAAGATTTAATGAAACATTTAAAGGTAACATCATTTCTGGAACATAAGAAATACTTATACAGACATGATGCAAAGCAGGAAAGGACATCCTTAATCAGGACAGAAACTCAGAGGTAAATGAACAGAAGTCAGGAGAGAACATGCAAACACTGAAATCAAAACAGTATTGAAACCAACAGAAACGAAGTGGTTGTGTGTTACAAGACCAAAAAAAGGATGATGGGGGTACATATTTCAAAGAAACTAAATAAGAGTAAAAGATTTGAAACAAATTTCAAAAGTTGAGGACAACCATAGAAAGTTGCATAGATAAACAATTGAGGTATCCGAAAATGAAAAAAAAAAAAACCAAGCAAATCATAAAACCTGTAACTCCATTGTTCTTTCTGAAAGTAAAACAGGGATTTGCAGCTGATTCTTCAACAAACAGTTAACAGAACTGAAAGTGAGGAATGAAAGCAAGTCATATTCTCCTGAATCATATTTTAGCACAGAAGATCCATAAAAGGAGACATAAGGATCATAAATTAGGTACCAGCCAAGCTATCTCAGTATCCAAACCATCAGGGCCCTCAGTCATTTTACTCCTATGAATACTTCCATTAGAATAAACAGAATTCTAAGCTACATCCCATCTCTCCAGTTCTTCCCAGTTAACTTCAAGGATTTGAACCACAGTCAGAGGTCACACAGTCACTTTTATGTCCCACTGGATTTTTTTAACGTTCGAAAGCAAGTTTTATGGTAATCTTTTGGGAAAGAATCCAGTATTACCTAAAACACAGTAAAATGTATTTTAAATAACTGGAAGATTTTAGGATGTTGACAATTGAGAAAAAGGATGGTATGTAAATATGTAGGCAGAGATAATTTATTTCAATAAATCTTTCAAAAGCCTTACCTTGATATGCCAAAAAAAAAAAGAATAAGCAGAATTCTGCCAACAAAATACCTAGAGATGCACAGACATAAAAACAAATGGTAAGTACTAAGTAACAGTAACTGCATTCAATAGACACAACATGAGATATGTGGAGAAAATGGGTAATGGAAGAGGTCACTAGGGTGATTGCTTTATAATCAATAAACTGCTACCTCTTTTTTAAAAGTATTTTTTCCTAAGACAGTTGTATATTAGAAAAGAGAGTTTAATTAAAACATGCAGTAAGGGAATACAGTTTATTATAAAATACATGAACATATTTACACAATTAATAAGAGAACACACATTTTCAAAGCAAACTGAATCCAAACAATTTAAAATTAGAATTATTTATACTGCATGTAGGACTAGCAAGATGGCAGCTCCAAGTTCAAGAATTCATGTCTCTGTCTCCTCAGAGTTCACTTCAGGAATCAGCAATGTGCATCCAGCGGGGTTCTAAGTGGGGGAACAGAGAACAGACTGTCGGGTAGCTCAGGCATGTGGGAGGTCAGAAGTCATCAGCTAGTTTCCTAACAGGAAATCAGGTAATTCCTGATTTAAGCTTGGAAGCACCAAGGTTTGTCTGCTGAATTCCAAGTGCAGTCTTTGGACAGCATTCGTAAGTCTTTTTTTTTTTAATAAGTTTTTTTATTGTGAAAATACTGTACAGAGGGGTTACAGTTACATGAGCAAGGTAATGAGTTCATTTCTTATCAAGCATTTTGTTGCCTCCACCTTTGTTTTTTCCCTACCATCTCTTCCCTCCCACCTCCTCAACTACACTCCGAACAGTAAGCAACACCCCTCCCTAAGCCGCACTTGAGCAGGCTTTAGCAACTGTTGCTCTGATGGTGAACTGGAGTTGGAGGAAAGTGTGCTCCTGGCCTGGTACCTACAGAGTGTGAGCCCCTCTCATCTGGGCCTGCTGAAGAGAATGAGAACTGCTGACACAGAATGGAGAAACAGCACTGCCCTCCCCCACTACTCTAAAAAAGTTACTCCCGATACCTGCTAGTTAAAGATGAGTGGTTTCTTGAGCCACTTTTTTCTGAGTTTTTTCTTGTTTCTTAAACACTAGCACCACAAATTCCTCCCATAACTAGAAACGCAAAGAAAAACGGAGGAACTAAATATATATCTCAATGTAGACACTTGGGTGTACATGGGTTTGAATTGAATATCCTGAACCAAAGACAAAGGAAACCAAAGGCAAGTCTCAGAAAGATGGTGAAATTGGTTGTAGATATAATGAATAGACATATCTATGATTATTAAACACTGAAAAGCTCAAAAATTTAAATGTCTAATGCAAATAAAAAACAAAAAACTGGAAAAAGAGGGAGTAATCTGGTAAGAGAGAGCTGTAAAAGAGTAGTAGTTGATGGATAAGAAATAGGATACACAAGAGTCAGAGAAAGGACGTGAATTACATTCTCACTGGTGGTGTCTCTCTGCATCCTCTGAATCATTGGAGGAGGATTCCTCACGCACCTCAGCAGTGATGGTGTCATCTGAGCAAGGAAGAATACAGTGAAAGTCCAAAGGATTAATTTGACTCCTTTTTCCCTGGAATCCCGGAGATTTTTGCCTTATCTCTGAGCTCCTGGGTTCAGTCAGGTCATGTTACAGTGAGAATCTTCAAGTCCTTTTCTGGCCAACTCTGCCCCTATAGCAGGAAATGGTGTCTTATTCCATTCCTTACAGAGGAGGTTACTTTATGAATTTGTCCTCACAATATTAATTTCTCTCACCCCCCCGACCCAAAAGTTTCTCTTTCCTCTCCTAATTTCTGACAACTTTTTCTTTCTTCCTTCCTTCCTCTCTTTTCTTTCTTTCTTTCCTTCCTTTCTTATTTATTCTTTCTTTCCTCTCTTCCCTCCTCTCTCTCTCTCTCTCTCTCTCTCTCTCTGTC